CGCTCAGTAGGTGTCAGGGGACCACAAATGCACAAAGGCCCTGTCCTTCTTCCAAAGCAGCATGAGAAAGCTTCTAGGAGACCTGGGGTGAGAGGTGGAGAAGCAGATTGCTGTGATTAGATGCAGGGGGAACATAGGCCAGGCCTCTTCATGTCCACTCTCCAGGGCCAGCCCCAGAGTCTTGTACTGAGTGCGCATACTTACTGCCAAAGGCGGAGCCCGCAGCGGCACCTGTATGGGCACAGGAGGGTAGCAGTGTTAGAGACAAGGCCTGACAACCTTCACCTGATACAGGACAGTGTACAAGGCAGGGGGAGCCCATGGAAGGGAAGGAGACTTAGAGAGCCTGAGACTCTGCTGGGTCACAGGGGCAGCCTCTGGGACCACACTGATGGAGACTGTCACCATGGACTGCCTGAAGGCTGCCTTTAGTCCGTTTTTCAGAAGGGACACTGTGAACTATTTCTTCCCCAGGACATTGTGACAAGCGTCCTTATGTTTGATCCCAACTTTCATCCCTAAGGCAGGATAATGTCTCCAAGGACAGGGAATAGGAGGTGTGGCCTGCTGGGAGACAATAGTGTGAGAGCTGAATCCAGGTCTCTCCGTGTTCTGTGTCACTGTGGGAATGGAAGCCTGGGACTGGTTTAACCAGTGATGTCACCAACCCTGAGTGGCACTGTCACAGTCACAAAAGGAAGGGGTCAGTCATGGCTTTTCCTTAGGTGTTTCTGAGAAAGGACTTGTGGTGGGGACGGTGGGCTGGGCAGGCCAGTCTTTACCTAGGCCCCCAGCAGGTACCACATGCATGAGCTATGGAAGAGCTTGGGATTGTGGGAGCTGAAGCAAGGACTCAGATGCTAGGAGTGGGGTGCAGAGGAAAGGTGACCCCAGAGTTTGGTCTTGAGGGTGAGAAAAGCACAGGGATACAGTGGGACGATCCAGTCCCAGAAGACTGGATGCAGAGGACTTTGGCTTTGGGATAGGGAGGAAGGGAGGGAGAGGGTAGGGTGATCTCACAGGGGCCTTGTATTTGGAGGGACTGACAACTTAGGGTTTTGCCCCCGAGGCTTTGAAGTATGTGGGCATCTGGGGGGGTGCCCCCTATGATTGTGATGAGGAGGTCCCAGAGAGGGGGTAGATAGAGGGAAGTGGGGGAGAGGCAGGGACAGTTCCTAAATCAGGGAGGAGATAAGACATACAAAAGCCACTCTGGGGTCTGTCTGTCTGTTTGACAGGACAAGGGGACAGTGGCCCTCCTAGGTATTCTTCGGGTAGGAGTCTTGGTCCATGATGGTGGAGGTGACAGTCGGGAGGCTGAACGAATCGCAAGTAATGGGGTGGGGTATGGCTGTAGGGCAGATGGAGGGGAGACAAGGCCATCAGTGAGAGGTAGCAACAAGGACTAAAGGAAGGTTCAGGAGACAAAGAGATGGGGAGAGGCACCCAGGGGGAGGGAGCTAGATAGGGGGGCAGGCCAGCAGCCCGCCAAGCCCCCTCTGTGCCTTTGAAGACCCTTGAGTGCCTCACAGTGCTTGGCAAGTCATGCCTTCAAAGGCTTGTCACAGTGCCGGCTGTAGCCCACGCTCAATGCCTGTCACCGTCTGCCTTGCTGCAGCCTTCAGCTTTGATCACTCTAAAGCCACATGAATCTTTTAGGGGTGAGGGAGGGTGCCAGATGGGACATGTGATTTGGGAACTATGTGGACCCTGGCTTTGTCACTGGGTCCCATGTTGGCTGGAACTGGCTGTGGAACCAGGAGGGCACTGGGCTGGCTGGGCCTCAGGGGGCTCATTTGGGTGTGGAGGGGTGGGGTAGTCATGGCACTCCCATGGTATTGTAAGGTCTCAAGGAAGCCATGTGTGGTAACTGATCCTGGTGCAGGCTCAATCTGGAGCAAGTCATTTGGTGTATTTCATGTATCAGGGATCTGAGAAGCCAGCCTAGGCTCCCTCCTGCTTGCACCCCGGAGACTTGTGGGAGCTGTGATTTCATGAAGCCTGTCTGGGGGTTCCCCATGCATGAGGGTCCCTTAAAGGGTGCTCATGATGCAGACATGTATGGGCCAAACTCTCACGTGGCTTCCCTTGATATCTGAGTGAGGTGGGGACAAGACTGGGTTGAGAGCAGGGACTCAGACAAGTGTCTCAAAAGACACTTCTGCAAAATGTGAAAGTTAGTTCTTGGCTACTGGAAGCGAGGCTCGGGATTCAGTGCCAGAAGCACCATGTGAAGCACCCCACAAGCACTCATTGTTAGGGACATTTGCCTGGACCTTCTGTCCAGAATCTCCATGGGGGTCTCCTGCCCTGCTCTCTGAGCGGATCTGTCCCCTCCTCTGTGTGTGTGTGTGTGTGTGTGTGTGTGTGTGTGTGTGTGTATGCATGCAAGTGCACATGTGAGCCACAGTCCTGGGGCACAGCATGAGGACTGTCACTGGATTGGCTACATACGTACAGGCGTTGGGAGAGCCGTGGGGCAGTGGCAGGTAGGAGCCAGCTCGCCAGGCCCGTGTCCGGAAGTTCTTCTTGCACTTGCCACAGTCAGGGCCTGTGGTGTTATGTTCACACTCACACTGCAGGCTGCCCTCTCGCACTGTGCACAGGTTGGCGTGCAGGTTGCACTTGCACCTGAAGAGACCAGAGGACAGGGGAGGTCAGTGAGCTCCAGAGCAGGCCTCTGGTGAAGGCAAGAGCTCAGGAGCAGGAGTGGCCAGGACTGTGCTGGCTGTCCTGGAAGGGACTCTGGAGGCCAGTGGTTCATTGCACCCTCAGACTCTCCTTCAAGACAAAGAGGACTGACACCCATTCTCATGGTTTGGAGACCTTTCCCAGCCAGGGATGCTCTGGACCCCTTGAGGTTGGTTTTGGCGTCCCTCTGTGGCTGGATTCCTGAACTTCTGCTCTTAGGTGGTGAGAGATTTTCTTGTGCCAGATGTCTCAGTGTTTTGACCACCTTAACTCCTTTTTATATTAATTAATTAGTTAATTAAATAATTATTTTTGAGACAGATTTTCTCTGTGTATCCCTGGATGTCCTAGAACCCTCTCTGTAGATCAGACTAGCCCTGAACTCAGAGATTTGCCTGCTTCTACCTCCCTATAGCACATGGCATGCTCATCCTCTCACACTTCAGTGGTGTGGCTGTTACCATTGTGAACACATTTGTTAACTAAAGTCCAGCTTTTACAAGATTCCCTAGAATTCGGGCATGTCCCTGTCGCCATCTCATAAGGAACAGTTACTCTGTCCAAAAATGCCCTCTGCACTCTTCGTTTGTCTTTCCATTCTGTTTCCCCTGTCCTGCCACTGCCCACTCATCACTGACCTGGGATTGACACCCATTCTCATGGTGCTGGGATTAAAGGTGTGTGCCATTATCACCTGGCCTATTTTTTTATTATTTGAGAGAGCATCTCACATAGCCCAAGCTGGCCTTGAATTAGCTACATAGTCAAGGAAGGCCTTGAAGGTAGATTTTCCCATATCTACCCCTCAAGAGCTAGGAGTATAGGTACTGGCTATCACACACATTTTTAATAGTTAAATTAATTTAACATGTGTGTGTGGGGGTGTGTGAGTGTGTGCACGCGCGTGCACATGTGTTACAGCATGGGTGTGGAAGACAGAACAACTTTTGGGAGATGGTTCTCCCTTCCAATATGTGGAGCCTGGGGATGACACTCAGATCATAAAGTTTTGGGACAACTGCCTTAATGGGTTAAGTCATCTCTCTGGCCCCACAATCGTCTTTTGTTTTTACTTGTTTTGTGTGTATGTGCTAGAGATTGAAACCAAGGCTTTGTGCACACTAGGTAAACCCTTGGCCCACTAGGCCACATCTCCCCATCTATCTTAGCTCTTAACTGAGGTGGGTAGACAGGTGACAGGTGGTAGCCATGCCCAAGCACCTTCTCTGTGCAGAGTCCTGGCTGAAGGCTTCAGACCCAGGCACTTGAGGGTGACAGAAAGAACCCCAGATTCTCAGCCCAGTTAATTCATGTATTATTTACCATTTATTTCATCATTGTGCAAACTGGTAAATAAAGGGAAAGCAACAAGCATGGATTCTGCCTGTTCTCTGTAAGCTCTACCTCTGTAACCTAACATCAATGAGGGCACCTTCCTTTTTTTGGAAGAATTTCATGGTAGAGTTAGGGACCCTAAGAATGGAGGGCTTCAGGCACTGAGCCATGACAGCCCAGAACACAGATGGCACAACCAGAAAAGGAACTTTCTAGAATGTTCACCACTTGAATCAGACCAAATCTGGACCAGAAACACCGAGGACAGAGCCACACACTGAATGCCACCAAGTGGGATGCAGCCCACACAGTGCAGACAGGTACCTGGCAGCTCAATAGATGGGTGACAGAGGATAAAGGCTGCTATAAAGGGAGGGGACACCAGCAAACTCTTGAGGAACCTCAGAGGCTTGTCAGTCCAGGGCCAGGTACACACCTGGCTGGGTCTTGGTGGAAACACACTCAGATGAATGCCAAGTGTACCTAGAGGGCACACGATAACCGATACTTGGGGTGTTTATGGTATTACTGCATATCAACTGTCATGATGCTATTGTTCACTGGTTCTTATAGTCTCTGTCTTCTAGAGAGATCCAGAAATATTTACAAGTACAGTTATGGGACAGTTGAGTGGTTTTTGGGTGACAGAGGACCACACAGCAGAGACACTAAGGAAAAAGACCTCAGATGGTGGCTGGAGCTGGCTCTCTTTGTGTGTGTGGAGTGTGGGAATGTAAAAAAAAAAAGAAAGTTAAAGAGATCTGAACACAATGGTGCACACCTGCAGTCCTTGGTATTCAGGAGGCTGAGGCAGGGGGATCTCAAGTCAGCCAGGGCTACAGAGTCTTTGTCCAGAAAACCAAGACAAAACTCACAAAATGAGTGGGGATCTGGGGAGGCAAGCAGGTGCATGTGTGCACAAGCCTGCCTATTCTGAGATGGGCAGACTCCCAAGATATATTGTCAATATTTGGAAAAAGCAAATTGCCTACTTGTATGCTGAATGGAATCTTATTTTTATTAAAATATGCAAGGAAAAATATTTATAGGGCAGCACTAATGTGGCAGACTCTGAGCTGGGGAGTTAAATGAGTTAAGTAAGTTAAATGATTGGCAAAGGAGATGGTGGTCCCTTCTCTGATGAGCACTGGGTGTAACTAGGAGACGATAAAAAAAGGTCAGTGATGAGTGGGCAGTGGCAGGACAGGGGAAACAGAATGGAAAGACAAACGAAGAGTGCAGAGGGCATTTTTGGACAGAGTAACTGTTCCTTATGAGATGGCGACGGGGACATGCCCGAATTCTAGGGAATCTTGTAAAAGCTGGACTTTAGTTAACAAATGTGTTCACAATGGTAACAGCCACACCACTGAAGTGTGAGAGGATGAGCATGCCATGTGCTATAGGGAGAGGGGTACCCAAGAGCTGGAACTGTCTTCCTGCTGGTCTGCGAACCTGCTCTATAAACAGCAGTATTAGTAACAAGGGCTGGTGTCTAGCTCTTCAGTTATGCTTGCTAACTGTTGTGTGAAGTTCTACCCAAAGAAGAACTTGGGGTTCCTGGCTTAGACTGGGGGAGCAGAAAAGTATCCAGGAAGAATATCTCTGAACCCAAAATGTGAAGAACATTCTAGAAGGGGAACCTTCTAGAAAGAGCAAGAGCATGAGGAGGTGCCTGGGATGGAGAGGAGACTGATATGGTGGTCGTTGGGGGTGTTCTCCTGGGGCGAAATGGACTAGTTGACATTTTACAGCATGGTGGCTGCTCTGGGCACATGGATTTGTCTGGGCACCAGAGCCGAGGCAGGGAACCAGCAAGCATCCTGGGTTCCTGTCATCATCCCATAAAGATTGTTGCTGGGATCTGGGGAGTGGCATGCCAGGCCCTGAGTTCTATGCTCAGGATGAGATTGGGGAAGATGTCTGCTGAATCCTTACCTCTTATCATGTTTCCCCTGCCAGCCTGGGCTGGGTGATGCTCTGTGTTCCCAGACCCCACTTCTTTTTTTCTTTTTCCTTTTTTCTGTTTGTTTTTTTTTAATTTGAATTAGAAACAATATTGTTTTACATGTCAATCCCAGTTCCCTCTCCCTCCCCTCTTCCCCTGCCTCCCCTCCCCCACCTATACTCTACCTATCCCATACCCTTTCTGTTCCCCAGGGAGGGTGAGGCCTTCCATAGGGGGTCCTCAGAGTCTGTCATATCCTTTGGGATAGGGCCTAGGCCAACCCCCTTGTGTCTAGGCTGAGGGAGTATACCTCCATGTGGAATAGATTCCCAAAGTCCATTCCTATGCTAGAGATAAGTACTGGTCTACTACAAGGGACCCCATAGATTCCCAAGGTCTCCTCACTGACACCCACATTCAGGGCATCTGGATCAGTCCCATGCTGGTTTCCCAGCTATCAGTCTGGGGACCAAGAGCTCCCCCTTGTTCAGGTCAGAACCCCACTTCTTATATACTCCCAGGAGGCCCAGCACCCCTGGCCTCCTCATGTCCACACTTTGCACAGCTAATGCCCCTTGGACTTTCAGCCTGGTCTTCTTGTCTCTGCCTCTCTTCCTGTGCTTGTGTCCCCCTCACTAGGGACAGGGCTTAGCAGGGGACACCTTCTGGGGCAGGGATGTGGGAGGCAAACCTCACCAAATACCCACTATCTGCTGGGATGTCCAGGTTGCCTGTCTTCATGGCCTTCTGCATACATGTCATCCTGATATGTAAGGGAATTTGAAGTACAGGAGGTCCCCACTTACGATGTTTTCTCCCTCAGTCTTTTAACTTTATGATGGGCAGAGGCATATCCAGGTGGCCATTTTGTTTACACTCTCATACAGAATGCAATGAACTTCACCAACTTAGTGTGTGGGAGAGTCTATTCAACCGAGGTGGCCATTTTGTTTACACTCTCATACAGAATGCAATGAACTTCACCAGATATTTGATATTTTGTTATAAGAAAAACTTAGTGTGTGGGAGAGTCTATTCAACCATGGGCTGGTTAGTGGGAATGTGTTTAAGGTAGGCTACACTACGCTGTGATGTTCAGTTGATGAGGGTCCATTGGGGCACAACTCCATTGTAAATTAAAGTGCTATACACTCAAGTGATGGAATATTACACAGTCATGAATGCACATAGTGAGGGCTATTTCCAGCTGCAAGGACCATTCTGAATGTGAGGGCAAAAGGCCACAGTTCCCAAATGCTCTCATTCCACACTCCACTGTCATCTTCCTCTTGTAGATGAGGACATGGAGCCAGATCCAACTCCAGAGGTCACAGGGTTCACACAGGAGAGAGCGTGGATTATGACAAAGGAAGACACCAGAGTGGTCACAGTGAAGCCCCAGTTCTATAGCCCAGTGGGGAGCTCATGCCTGTAATCAGCACTGAGGCAGGAGGATTGCCACAAGTTTAAAGCCAGTCTGGGCTATGAAGCGAGTTTCAGGTCAGCCTGAGCTACATTGTGAGGTGCTGTCTCACCTTCCCCCAAATTACACACACACACACACACACACACACACACACACACCCCTGTACCCTAAAACCCCAAAAAAGGCAAGTGGTGGAAGGAGGAGCAGGATTTAAATTTATGTCTACTTTCT